TTCAATTCTGTGTAATAGTTCTCACTCACAACGTAGCAACATCACGACGGTTGGCTTGACAAACTTTATAAACTCGAGAGGGATGGTTTCGAAACGCGGGTGAGTCTTGTTCGAGGAACATGAGCTCTGAAAGTCGCGAGGTGGAGTGAAGTGATCATGGTGCTAACTGAAACTGAAGTACCATCAAACCTCGCTAAAAGGAGCAGCTACATGACCAGCTTTTTGAATAAGCTAGCTTATACAAAAAGAAACTAAAAGTCTTAAAGCGACTCTTAAACTACATTAAGGAAAGATAATTCACAGATGCATGTGCCCAGGTACGCAGTTAAATGGCTGAATTCATTCCAATTAGAACAACAACGCAGCGGTGCGGGACACTCTCTAAAAAAATCACTAGCCGGCCGGCCGATCCAAATAGCCACGTTCGAAACCAACGTCAATGCTATTGTTGGATCTCTTCTAGCTGCAGTCAAAGTATTTTTCATTTCGAACGTGCTTTTTCATCTTTTGGGGTAAGCTGTACAGAGCCGAAAAGGAGCTCAGCTATTGGTCGGGTCCGGCTCGGCTCCCCCCACTCCCTTCCTTTTCCCTTGACGAGTCGAGTTTTGCCATGGAAACAGCGATTTGGACAGCAAATTTCTCAAAATTGGCCGTTAAGGCGCGGGATCACCCCCCGGAGTTGCAACGTTGGGGCCGCGCGGGTCCGGCCCCCGCGCGGGGTATAGCCGCGGCTGCTTTGGTCAATACTCCCATCTCATCTTCTTTGCTAAAAGTGTGGCACTTTCCCCCAGAGAGAGCACCACTGTCAGCTACTTGCAAAAAAAAATGAGGACCAAATCCAGGTGACAAAGTTCTATCCTCCATGTGCATTTCCTTATTGTCGGCGCAGCCTGTTTTGGCAGTGTAGATGCCGGGGCAGCCGAGACGATCTCCGTCACCCTCGTCAAAGTGCACAAAGACGGCTTGACAGGTGGCTCTCTGCGGGCGTGCAGCAACGAACTCTTTCTTCAAATTTCAAATTTTCGAATTCGAACATGTTTTAGCTGTGTTCCTTGTTTCATTGCGGTTTCGGCGGTATAAAACTTTATCCAAATAGAGGAAAATTGAATGCTCGCCTCCCTGCCCCCATCCGAGAAGTGGGCCGTGTGGGGCTGCCCCAGTGGCCGGGCGCGCTGCCGGTCCTCGCCTCCGAATCCTGGCGACTGCAGCGGGGGGAGAGGAGAGGGCACACGCGTCGGAGACAATAGATCGGAATGCAGCCAGGTGTCCATCACAAACTTGTCACGCCGCACCGGCCAACCTCCGTGCAGTTCCGAAAACCTCCGGCGCGCCACCTCTCAGAGCGCCACGAGTCGACCGCCAAATTCAAAACGAGTAAAAGCAGGGAAAAACAGTGCTTTTTTTGTGCAGCTCACCCTCAGAAAGTATCGATACCACAAACAAGCTAGGACCCGCCCTTCCGTCGAACCGAGTTGCCAGCTCCGTTCGCTGCGCCGGCAACTCGGTTCGACAGGGGCCGGCCCAGCTTGGCCTGCCGGCGGCCCTTTTCCCCGGGGCCCTTTGGCCCTCGCATCAGACCCAACTTGGCCAGTCGAAGGCCCGGGGCCCTTTGGCCGCTCGCATCACACACCCCCTGAGGGGTAAAGCAAAGTTATCGATGTACCATCGTGACTTAGGCCCGCCCTTCTATTCACAAAATGCAATAGACCTTACACTTTTTACTCCAACTGTCCTTAGAATATGCCCATTTCGTCTCTTAGCCCTCATTCCGAAAATACCCATATTTGCCATGCTACTGCAACTCCTTGAATAGAGGCACAGCAGGAGCGCAAAACGAGTCCGTCGCACTTTTTCCCCAAAATCATGAAGGCGGGCTCCCGGACCCCCCCTTTCCCACCCCTCGTTTAAGAGGTCTTGTCAAGACCTATCCAAAACTTAAGTAAAATTTTCAGTCAGTCGACCCCCTTTTTTTAAGATCCTGATGTGACTAAAAGACGAAGTCGGGCTCCTGGACCCCCTTTCCGACCCCTCGTTGAAAAGGTCTTGCTGAGACCAATCGAAATCTGCAAAATTTTTTTTTTTGTCGGTCGACCCCTTTTTTTGAAGATCCTGATCTGGCCAACTTGTAAAAGCGACCGATGGGTCGGGACCAGGTCCATTATCTTGTTTTCGTCGCCCCCATTCCAAAAATACCCCTATGTGCCCCGCTAGCACCAATAATGGCGGAAATCCCCCCCCCACTCATGTAAACCATGATGCACCTGCGCAGCCCCTTTTGGGGACCCGGACGGGATTTGCACCACCGGATTTTTTGTTTGGACGGT